TTTGTAGATTGGTGTTGGACATATGGGTTAATGGGTTAATGTTGAATTTGTGGGCTTGGGCAGCACTGGGTTGGGATGTTTTCTTGATGCACACTTAACTTTTATATAAAACTCTCTCTTATATATGAGTTTCTGTGGATTTGTTTCTTTAAAGTACCCAGACTAACACAAAGACGGTAGAAATGAGATTTAATCTAAAACCTAGAATAGTGCTGGCTCAGAGTGGGCACTCAATAAACATTTGTTGAATGAATGATGTTTTTTCTGATTTCCAGCCTATCTCACCATATCTAGTTCATAAGCAATTGATCCTGAGAAGCTCACTGGGAATTCAGAATTGACAGAATCCCTGCCCTTGTTCCACGGAGCTCCCATCAGGTCCGTTAAACCCAGCAAGCATGTTGAACATAGGTTAAATGACAAACATGGAGCTATCTTCCACCTTTAAAAAATGTTTCAGTTCGTTCCTGCCTTGCAACGGCCCTCCAATGCTAAGATGAAGGGTGGGAATGACTTGTGAAGTTCTTTCAGTGTAGGGAGGCAAGATCCTCCCCAAGTCTGTAGAAAAGTTTGGAAGAATGTTCACAACAGTTACCAATGTCCAGGCTGAAGGGCGGTAGCTCTGGTGCTGTAGGTGAAGGTAGAATGAATGATCCGTCATCCATGCTCAGAATCATCCACTGGCCCTGCCCATGGGAGAGCTGGGAAGCAGGCATTTTAACCAAACACATGGGTTACTGGTTCGTGGGCATCTTCTTCCCTCCCCTCTCCCACACTCCTCTGGCAAGTCTATAGTCACACCCCACCTACTAAGTGCACATTCCCTTACTGGGAGTTGAGAGGGCAAAGGGGAGGATCGAGATCCTGCAAATAACAGACCCTTGCTTGCTGAACAAGGACAGGACTTGCTGGCAAAGTTTAAACATTACAGCCTTCAGAATGCATTCCCAAAACACCAAACTCAGTCATCAAATCGATTCCTGCTCACAGCAATCTTGTAGGACTAAGTAGAATTGTCCCCATAGGTCTCAGAGGCTGTCAATCTTTATGGGAGCAGAAATTCTCATTGTTCTCCCTAGGAGAAGCTGGTGGGTTTGAACCACCAACCTTGTAGTTAGCAGGCAGATATGTAACCCACTACACCATCAGGGAGAGTTTGGATTACATCTCAATATACAGAAAACAAAAATCCTGACAATTGTCCATTATGCAACATCATGATAAACAGGGCAAAGACTAAAGCTGTGAAGGGTTCTATTTTAACTGGATTCACAATCAGCGCTCGTGAAAGCAGTCAGGGAATCAAAGGATACATTTATTACACTGAGTGAATCTTCTGCAAAACACCTCTTTAAAGTGCTAAAAAAGCCAAAATGGCACCTGGAGGACTAAGGTGCACCTGACTGAAGCCACGGTATTTTCTTTCTCCTTTAAAAAATCATTTTATTGGGGGCTCTTAAAGCTCTTATATCAATCCATACATCCATCGTGTCAAGCACATTTGTACAGATGTTGCCATCATCCTTTTTCACAACATTTTCTTTCTACTTGAGCCCTTGGGATCAGCTCCTCATTTTTTCCTTCCCTCCCTCATGAACCCTTGACAATTTATAAATTATTATTTTCAGCCACAGTATTTCCAATCACCTCACATTGCACGCAAAAGCGGAATAATAAAGGCCAAAGAACTGATGTGTTTGAATTATGTTGTTGGCAAAGAATATCGAAAGTACCATCATAAACTACCAAAACTGCCATCAGGTGGTTTCTGACTCAGAACGACCCTGTAGGACAGGAAAACACTGCCCCTGTGGGTTTCCAAGGTTGTAACTCTTCAGAGGAGTAGAAAGTCTGATCTTCCTTCTGCAGAGCAGCTGGTGGTTTCCAACTGCTGACCTTGTGGTTAGTAACCCGCACTTAACCACTATGCCACCCAGGCTCCTGCAGCCTACCAAAAGAACGAACAAATCTATCTCGAGAAAAGGGCAGCCTTCCGGGATGCTCCTTACACGTGAGGACGGCAAAACTTGGTCTCATGTACTTTTCCAGTGTTGTCAGGAGGAGCAGCCCCTGGAGAAAGCTAGCGTGCTTGGTAGAGAGAAAGTCAGAGATAAAGAGGAAGACCCTTTTCAAGATGCATTGTCACAGGGGCTGCAAGAAAGGACTCCACTCAACCATAGCAACGACTGTGAGGATGGTGCTGGGCTGGGGACTGTGACTCGTTACGTTGTTCATAGGGGCATTATGAGTTCCAAAGCGCCAATTAGCAACAAGAACGGTGGTGCGCTGGTCAGTGCTGCTGGTTGCCAAGGGCTAAACCAGAGGCCAGTGTCCGGCTCTGGACGCGATCGCACCTAGTCCTACCAGCTCGCCGCTGAAAACGGGGCGGGGACCACTGCAGAAGCAGCAGCCTTGCCACCGTCCGCTCGTGCTGCCGGCTCTGCGACCACAGCCTGGGAACAGAGAAGGCCAAGAAAGAGCCTTTACCTCCTGCAAGGCCGCGCTCGACCCTCGTGGAGGGCAGCCGCAGGTCTCCTGACAGCAGGGGGCGGGG